GTTTTGACAGATGAGACGGTAGTTCAGGAAATAAAACAATGTATACAGCAATACATTGAGATTAATGATAATGGAGAAGTTAACCCTACAACGTTATGGGAATGTGGGAAAGCAGTATTAAGAGGGAAAATGATAGAGATAACATCTAGGATTAAAAAAAATCGAAAGCATCAGCAACAAGAGTTGGAGAAGAAAATTAGAAAATTGGAAAATGAGCATAAAAAAACGCTAAATCACGGTACTTTATCAGAACTTAAAGAAATTAGATCCAAATTAGATCAGTTATTGACTTTTAAAGTAGAAGCGGCGTTAAGATTTGTTAATCAAAACTATTATGAAAAGGGTAATCGAGCAAGTAAGTTACTAGGATATCAACTCAGAAAGAAACAGTCGGACCAGGCAATAACAAAGATACGGCATCCTATCTCTAAGGAGATTAAGGTTAAACCAAAAGAGGTTGCAAAAATATTTGCAGAATATTATGAAGAGCTATATAATGACCAAGAAATACCATCCTTGGAAGAAAGGATGCAACAGTTTATGAACAAATTTAACCTACCAGCACTGACTCCAGAGCAAGCGCTGGAAATGACAGAACAAATTTCTCTCAAGGAAATATTTGATACAATTAAAAATGTGAAAAACAAAAAAAGTCCAGGTACGGACGGATTTCCGGGAGAATTCTATAAATGTTTTCAGGAAGAAATAGCCCCACTACTAAAGAAAGTGTTTAACTATGCCTTGGAATCAGGGAACATTCCAACATCATGGTCAGAAGCTGTCATTTCTGTCTTGCATAAGGAAGGTAAAGACTCTACTTTGTGTGAAAGCTACCGCCCTGTTAGCCTGCTATGTAATGATTTGAAGATTTTAACAAGTATAATGGCAAAAAGAATACAGAAATACATAACAAGGTTGATTAAACCCGATCAGACAGGATTCATACCGGGACGACAGGGCGCTAATAATATTAGGCGAACTTTAAATCTTATGTCCAGTGCAAGAAGGAACCCAAATACAAACATGTTATTAAGCTTAGAGGCACAAAAAGCATTTGATTGTGTGAAATGGAAATATCTATATCACACATTATCAGTGTTTGGGTTCCATTCAACATTCATTAATTGGGTTAAATTTGTTTATAAAGATACAAAATCCAGGATTAGAGTAAATGGATGCTGCTCCGACTTTTTCTTTCTGAAGAGAGGAGTAAAGCAGGGAGATTGTTTAAGCCCTTTATTATTTGCTTTAAGTATAGAACCGCTCGCTGAATATATTAGGCAAAGTCCAGATATAAAGGGCATCGTAGATGAAGGTAATGTGGAGTCAAAAATATCATTTTTTGCAGATGATATCCTCATGTAAATAAGTAACCCCGTTGAGACTGTACCCATCCTGAATAACATTTTAAGAGAGTTTGGGGAAATCTCCGGATACTTGAACAATGAATCTAAATCGGTTGCAATGATCATACCTGGAAAATGTCCAGAAGAACTAAAAATAAAGACTACATTCAAATGGACGGATGAGGGCTTTAGATATCTTGGCATTACTATTACACAAAAGTTATCAAATCTATTTACAGCTAACTATGAGAAATTATTCAAGGAGATTAAAGAAGATTTAGTGAGATGGGAAATTTTGCCCTTGACAATAATGGGAAGAATAGAAGTAATACGGATGAATGTTCTGCCAAGGTTGCTGTTTTTGTTCCAATCCCTACCCATCCAGCTCCCAAAAACAATATTTAAAAGAATTGATCATATGATCTCAAAATTTATTTGGGGAAATAAAAAGCCACGAGTAAGATATACATTACTACAATGCTCCAAAGTAAAAGGAGGTTTGAATTTGCCTAATATTAAAAGATAGTATTGGGCAGCACATTTAAGAATCATAAATATCTGGATAAATAATGAGGAAGAGACGGGATGGAGGGAAATGGAACAAAATTCATGCCCAAAAGTAGAATTACAAAGCCTACCCTTCATTAGAAAGCAAAATCTAAAACAGTTGAAAATAAAAAATGAATGGGTTAAAGGAACAATGGAAATATGGATGGGGATAAAAAAGAAAATGGAAATGTCTAGTTCAATCTGCAGGGCCACGAGAATAGGAAAAAATTGTGATTTTATACCCTCAAGTATGGAGATGGGATTTCAAAAGTGGGAATCTAAGGGACTTGTCCATATTGGGCAGCTGTTTGAAGGGTAAAATATGAAATCATTTCAGCAGCTTAAAGACGAATTTAATCTATCAACACATGAATTTTACAAATTTCTACAAATAAGAAACTACCTTATAAAACATAAAGAATGGGAGTATATATGTAAACAAGAAAATGGAATAGAGAAATTACTGATGACTAAGTTAGAGAATAAAGAGATAATTTCAAAGTTCTATAAAGCCCTGCGGGCTGAACAAGACAATAATGTGGACACCAAGTATAGATGGGAAACTGAAAGAAATATCGTAATTTCCAATGAAAACTGGGAGAAATCATTCAAGGGAGGACATCAAATGTTTAGTAGTATGCTATGGAAAGAGTTTGAATGGAAAGTAAAAATGCGATATTTCCTGGTACCATTGCATATTTCAAAATACAGTAAAATGTCTGATAAGTGCTGGAGGGGTTGTGGCCAAGTAGGAGACTATACACACATATTCTGGGACTGCCCTAAACTCAAAGAATACTGGGAAAATGTAAAAAAACAGATAGAAAGAATCGTTAATGTAAAAATTGATTTAGACGTACAATTGTTTTTGTTGGGTATTATCCCCCAAAATATTCCAATAAAAATAAGGAAAATTATTAGGATGTTAATTATAATAGCAAAAAAAATTATTACAGTCTGCTGGCTTGAACCACAACCACCTCGTGCAAAGCAATGGTGGGACAGAATAAAAGATGTGTTAAATATGGAAAAAGTAACTGCAAGGTTAAAGAACAAAATGAAAGAATTTGAGGACCTGTGGCGACCCTCAATGTTGGAGACAATGGAAATGTAATCACCCCACAAAAAGTTTTTTTTCTTTTTTTTTTTTCTTTTGTGATTGTTTCTTATTATTTAACTACGTTCGTGTTTTATCTTATTTTTTATTCTTTGTCTTTGTTTTTATTTTTCTCTTGTTTTACTGGGTGTAGGTACACACGGGGGAAAGGAAAAAAATAAGAGTGATAAAAACGAGATGAAAAAGTGACAAATGTGGCCATAATATGACGACAATGTGACGATAAAGTGACAAAAATGTGACGACAATGTAACAAAAAATGTGACGATAAAGCGACAAAAAATGTGACGACAATGTAACAAAAAATTTGACAAAGATGTGACCATAATTGGACGACAAGGTGACGATAACGTGACAAAAATGTGACAAAGATGTGACCATAACGTGACAAAGATGTGACCATAACGTGACAAAAATGTGACGACAATGTGACAAAAATGTGATAAAGATAGGACCGTAATGTGACAAAAATGTGACTATAACGTGACAAAAATGTGACGACAATGTGATGAAAATGTGACAACAACGTGACAAAAATGTGACAAAATGTGGCCGAAATGTGATAAAAAAATGAGACAATAAAAAGAAAATTACAACAACAAAAAAAGTTTAAATTATCCAATAAATTTCGTTCCACTTCACGATTGTGTCCCACTTGTTGTTGATTCTTGACAAAAAAATATGTTTTTATATCTTTATGTTTGAAGCCTGAAATGTGGCGAAATGTTGAAAGGTTCAAGGGGGCCGAATATTTTCGCAAGGCGCTGTATATTAGTTTTCTCAAACGTAATATAATTGATTGTGTTATTTCGCTTATAGTTATTTATTGATTTACATTGCTTTAAATGTCTTTACTGTTCTGGATTATTTCCTACAGTTTTTGGTTTTTAACTGCATGTGTAAATCCTCTCTAAATGATTAATAGTATTGATCTGGAAACACTCTACTCCTGTCCTGGTCCTTATCTTTAGTCCTATTGTCTTAATTAGTCTTTCATCAACATGAGGATAACATGATGAGAAGCCACAATCCGTTCAGGAAACATCAACGTTCAAGAGACCCACTATGCAATAAAATCCATGGAAATAGTTCCTGACCTTTGAAAAAGTTTGGTTCTGTTACTAGTTTTCACAAGCATGTATTCTTTTTAATGATAGTAATAAAAATAATAATAATTATTATTATTATAGTAATGGCACTTTTTGGACACTTTGAGACTTTTTACAAAACCCATAGAAAAGAATACAGAAAAAAAATAGCCGCAAGCAACACACAAACGCAGCCCTCACATTCATGCGCAACCAAGCCTCGAGTTTCCAAGTTGTCCGCCCAAGCAAATCAATGGCCTGTGCTCATTGGACCGTGCTTGCATCATGAATGCCCTTGCGGAAGTGCCGCATTTTGGCTACTGTAGCTCTGGTCCTCCCAGTCTTGCGCAGTTGGTGCACAGTGATTGTACTAATGCTAGACCAGAGCTACACATGAGCGTTCTGACCAATCAGCGTGCGGTTAATATGAGCAGAACTAGAATGGGACGAGAGGGTGCCGAGTTTGCTGCATAAAAGTATGGATTTATAGAAACCTAGGGATTTTAAACGCAAAAAGTTCAGGATGACAAGGGACAGGTTCTCTGTCAGCTCAGGATGACCCGTTTTAATTAACAGGACTAACTTAAAATCTCCCTTTGCTGCCCATTATCTGGCTCAGTGCATTTGGCCTCCTAAAAATCCAGTCCTAATGATAATTAAGGTCAATAGCCTTATATTACATTAGGTTACAATGATTCATCTTCATATGCAAATGTTTTCCCATAAGATGAAGACTGAACATGTTGTGATGTGATTTAACTTTTACAGGACTAAAGATATGTTGTTGTTGTTTTTGTATGAAATGAAAGGTTTTTCTATAAATTGCCTAAGTAAATATTATCAATATCTTGTTTACGGGTCAAATACTGCTGAATTTAAGGCTGTAAATCTTTGTGACAGGGTGCTGTGTGCTGACGGCGTGTGTGAGAGCCTAATGTACGGCCTGCCCCTCCTGCTGCGCCCCTCCTGCTGCTGGAGCCTGGACTGGGATGACATGGAGTCCAACCATAAAATATTCCATGGCCTGTGCCACATACTGCGGGTTAGATTCACAGTCATACGTAGATGGGCATGGGCATACTAAAGGGTACAAAAGTGTGAAAGAATACCAAAAATTCTATTTTAATAATTAGAAGATATATTAATGTTTTGCATTTTGTAAAATACCTCTGTCCATTAGTAGTTGCTAGAAGATAACTGTTTTATACATTAGTATATGCTTTTGACGGAATGAGCTATGCAGAAGTTTATTTTCAGATGTTCACGTTTAGATTCTTTTTTTACACAGAGTAGAAAAAAAATGATTACTTTCATATAATAAACCAATTGAATGTGATTGGCAATCTTTTTTTTCTTAAGTTACATTTTTTTTAAACGTAAATCAGCACATCCGTTGCACATTTACCTTTTAAAATCAAGTGATTTATTTATGTTGTCTTAGCCATGTTAATCTTGTGGGAGTTCAGCTGCCGCTTTGTCACACTGATGACCTTTCTATGTAACTGGAGTTACATAGCCTTATCAAATCAGAGGCTGATCTTGGTTTTAAAAATGTTGCTAAAAATGTATTTGTCAATTTTTTCTTGTGATTGTATCCACAATATTTCTGTACTGTTGCACCCAATGTGACCCAGTGTCCTAATTGAGATTCACAGGCAGCTAAACTCTTTAATGCATCATTTCCTCCAAGTAACAGGCAGGTGTTTTAGTGGACCAAGATTTAATGCAGAAAAGTGTGAAACTGCAAACACAAAATACAAACAGGTATTCAGAATGCAGTAAAATAAAGTGTCTATATCAAAAAATAGCAAACACAGTACTCAAAGGGTTAACCTTAGCTGGGCTCAGTAGAGGGAACACACATCACTATCCAAAATCTTCAATAAAGGTAATAAACGTTGCACATCTAACAACCATAGCTCACAAATAAAGTTCTAAACATGCATCTCAAACATAAAACTCACTCATATTGCCACTCAAAGGGATGGAAGTGAGTGGATGGCTTCTGATAGACAACACCTCATGGTTTGTTCACAGCACAGGTTTGTTTACTTCTGCCCCACCTACAAACCAAACTTAAAACAATCCCCAGAACAAGCGCCCTCTAGCGGTCAGGAGTAAAAATGACATGCTGTAACAATACACTCCCCGTCTGGCATCAATTCAAAGATGCCACTACAACTAACTAAACTGTGGGAGATAACAATAAAATACAGTCCGATATGGGCCTAGAGTAGGTCTTCATAGACTTGTCTCGAGCTACTTTCACCTCGATCTTCCTCACAACTCCGTCCTTACTCGGAAGAGTCTTCACAATGATTCCCATGGGCCAGTCATTCCGCTTAACTTGTTTGTCCTTTAGCAGAATAATGTCCTTTTCCTTCAGATTTGGTTTGTTGTGTTGCCACTTCTGTCGACTTTGTAGCATGTTGAGGTACTCTTTCTGCCAACGGGTCCAAAAGATGTTGGCAAGAGCTTGAACTCGTTTCCACTGATACTTGAACATGTCAGTCTTTGCAAAATCCCCGGGTGGAACTGGGATGACTTTTGTCTTTTGAGTTAGCAGTGTCATTGGAGTCAGAATTAAAGGTGCCTCGGGATCTGAAGAGACAGGCACCAAGGGTCTTGCGTTAATGATTGCTGTGACCTCTGCCAGCAGAGTTGTCAGGACCTCATGAGTAAGTGAGGGATTACCTGCTTGTAGGAGCATTGAGTCTAGGATACGTCGTGCAATGCCTATCATACGCTCCCACGGGCCTCCCATGTGAGAAGAGTGGGGAGGGTTAAATACCCAGGAACATCTTTGTTCGCGTAGATAGTCATTCACGCTTGTTTCACTGGGCTTTGTTGGATCCAGCTTGAGCTCCTTGGATGCACCAACAAAGTTGGTACCGCAGTCGGACCTTAACTGTTTTGCAGGGCCTCTGATGGCGAAAAACCTACGAAGAGCATTTATGAAACTTGACGAGCTTAGGGTTTCGGTAACTTCAATGTGAATGGCTCTTGTCGACATGCAAGTGAACAGAACCGCCCATCGCTTACTGTTGGCTTGACCTCCCTTAGTGCGACGTGTTGCGACTTCCCATGGTCCGAATACGTCCAGGCCAACATACGAAAATGGGGGATCAGTTTGTAGGCGTTCAGCAGGTAGATCGGCCATGACTTGTTGCTCTGTTTTTCCTCGAAGCTTTCTACAAGTCACGCATTTGTGGATGAAACTGCTGATGGATCTTTTAGCACCAACCAACCACAAACCACTTGCCCTCACAGCTCCCTCAGTGAAGTGTCTCCCTTGATGTTGGACAGCTTCGTGATGACGTCTTATGAGCAGTGTAGCAATGTGATGTTTCCTTGGAATCAGAAGAGGGTTGGTCTCATTATTTGGGAGCTTTGACTCTTTCAAACGTCCTCCTACACGAAGTAGATCTGTGTTGTCAATAACCGGGTTAAGCTTGTACATGGAACTGTTGCGTGGAAGATTTTGTTTTGCCTTAATGCACTTGATTTCTTCGGTAAACGCATCGTGTTGTGCAGATCTGATGATGGTATACTCTGCCTGAGTTAAATCTTCTTCTGTGAGACTTGCTTTGCACATGTGCCATTTCTTACAACAGTTACCATCTTTGGCCGCAAAACTGTTGGCAATGTGACGAAGATGTGCCACTGCTTTGACAAGAGATGTCCACTTAGAGAATCTTTCAAAACGTGTAGAATTTAAGGTGCTTGGTGCAGTTCTGGTCATGAGCACAGTTGCGTTCTGTCGTATTTCCACATCCGACTCTGGATCAATGAGTCCAAAGGGACCCTTTTCAGGGGTAACAGACTGTGTGTTAAGAAGAAATCTGGGTCCAGACCACCATGTACTACTGTTGATTTTGTCTGCAGCCAGAGAACGAGAACCATGATCGGCTGGATTGTGCTCTGTTGGGACGTATCTCCATTGTTCAGGGACAGAAGCCTGCTTGATTCGCTGGACACGATTGTTCACGTACACGTGGAATCTTCTGTTTTTGTTGTGAATGTATCCCAACACCACTTTACTGTCAGTGAAAAATGTAGTCTTGTCAATCTTCATGTTAAGCTCTTCTTTAAGAAGCTCTGACATTTCCGCTGCGAGCACTGCAGCACAGAGTTCCAGTCTGGGAATGGTGAGTTCCGGCATCGGAGCGAGTTTGGCCTTTCCCATGACAAACCCGACTTCGGTGTGACCATCTTTATGTGTGGCTTTCAGGTATGCTACTGCTGAGATAGCTTTCACTGAAGCGTCTGAGAACATGCAAAGTTCTATGAAGGTGGCTTGTGAGATGGAGAACGAAAAGTAGGTACGAGGAATATGCAGTGTTTTCAGATGCTGCAACGAATCCTGCCATCTTCTCCAATCATCATACATGTCTTGTGGCAAGGGGTCATCCCACTGTAGGTCTCGGCTGGTGAGCTCTCGGAGAAGAAGTCGGCCTTTGATGGTTACCGGAGCAAGCAGCCCGAGGGGATCAAACAAGCTATTTACAGTTGAGAGTACACCACGTCGTGTAAATGGTTTCTGCTCTTGTGGTACCTCAAAGGTGAAGTTGTCAGATGTTGTGTTCCATATCACACCCAAACTTCGCTGGACTGGGAGTGTGTCAACGGTTAGATCAAGATCTTTTATTTCTTTTGCTCTATCGTCGGTGGGGAAAGCACTCACTACTTGCACTTTGTTCGAGGCTATCTTGTGTAGACGTAGGTTGGAGAGCGCAAGCATTTTCTTGGTTGTTTGTAGGACATCAATCGCTTCTGCCTCTGTTGCAAAAGACTTCAACGCATCGTCCACATAGAAATCTTGTTTTACAAAATCACACGCGTCGCTTCCATATTCAGCTGCTGCATCTTTTGCTGCCATCCTCAGCCCGTAGATGGCCACTGCAGGGGAGGGGCTGTTACCAAAGACGTGCACCCTCATGCGATAGTCCACCACATCTTTGGTCAGATCGTTGTCTTCATACCACAAGAAGCGAAGGTAATCCCTGTGATCTTCGTGGACAACAAAGCAGTAAAACATCTGCTCAATGTCAGCTGTGATAGCAACTGGTTCCTTTCTGAACCGGAGTAGCACACCTACAAGTGTGTTGTTAAGGTCTGGGCCAGAAAGCAGGACATCATTGAGAGAAACTCCATCAAATTGAGCACTGGAGTCGAACACCACTCGGATCTTCCCGGGCTTCTGTGGGTGATAGACGCCGAATGTGGGGAGGTACCAGACCTCTTTGTCTCTGGGGTGAGGTGGTGCAAGCTCAGCATGTCTGTTGTCAAGCATTTTCTGCATGAACTCCATGAAATGTGCTTTCATGTCTGGCTTCTTATCGAGCATGTGTCGAAGCGACACAAAACGCTTAAAGGCATAAGACCTGTTGTTTGGGAGAAGGCTTCTTGGGCTCCTAAATGGGAGTGGAGCAACCCAGCTGTTAGTATCATCTTTGTAGAATTGTTCCATCTTTTCTAGAAAGATTAGGTCTTCGGCTGAGTGTGCAAGCTGGTTGTCCTCATTTGTTTGACAAAATACAGTATCGCCCAAGTTTTTAGCTGAGGGTTTTGCTTGTGTGCTTGAAGACAGCAGTGGATAGGAAATGGCTTTGGGTTGGCTTTGAATGAAGCACTCTTTCACATTAAAGCGACTGCTGCAAGGCGTGAGAAAGCTTGGGCGTCCATTATCCAAAACATGTGTCTTTAGAGCATTTACTTCAGTTGGTCTGTGAGCGTTTCCTAGACATACATCGCCGATGATGACCCAGCCTAGGTCGAGCTTCTGTGCGAATGGGTCATTGTGTTTACCAGAGATTTGTTTTCTCACCTTGTGAACCCTCAGAAGATTGCGTCCAATCAGCAGAAGGATGTCAGCATCCGCGTCTAAGGGCGGCATCTCATCAGCAATGGCTCTCAGATGAGGGTGGTGAAAAGCAGCATCTGCAGTGGGTATCTCATCCCTATTGTTTGGAATAGCATTGCACTCTATTAGCATTGGGAGAGGAAAGCTCATTTTTCCATCAAATGACTGTACAACGTAGTCACATGCTCTTCGTCCACTCACTTGTGTCACACCAGCACATGGATTTGGTGTGTATGGTGTGGTTGTTCCTTTAATGTTGAACATGTCAAAAAAAACTGTCTTTGCAAGCGATTGGTTACTTTGATCGTCTATTATTGCGTACATTGCTTTTGTGTTGTGTGGCTCACCTTTGGGGTGGACTTGGACCAAGCAGATCTTGGAGCAGGACTTTCCTGTTATCTCACTTCCACATACCTCTGTACATGTAGCTGTAACATCAGAGTTCTGTGAAACTTGCTCCCCGCCTTGCTCTTTGGAAGATGAGGGAGGCTGTGTTTGCGGCGCTGGGCCTGGGTGGAGAGCTGCCAGGTGTCTCTCGCTGTCACACTCTTCACACTTAACTGCCACCGTACAGTCTTTGGCTTGGTGAGTTGTAGAAGCAAGACAGCGATAGCAAATGTTGTTGTCTTTAATAAACTTCTTTCTTTCATCCAGTATCATTGTTCTGAAACCTTTGCACCTTTTCAATGGGTGTGGTTTGTGATGTATGGGGCATTCTTTGTTAATATCTTCATTTGTCTCTTGTCTTTTACTTCTCTCCGACACGTCTGTCTTCCGTACTGTGACTGTCTGTCTTTGGCTGTAATTATTTGTCGTTTTTTTCTTTTCTGTAACCTACAGCAGGTGGGTTGTAAGCTGTGGTAAAGCTCGGGTCATTCCTTGCTTTGGCTTGGCCTTTCACAAAGTCCACAAAGAATGAGAAGGGGGGGAAACTTACATTATAATCCTCTTTAAACTTTGACCCCACCATTGTCCATCGCTCCTGAAGATGAAAGGGAAGCTTTTCCACAATTGGACTTACACCTCTGGCGGTATCAAGGTTGCTTAAACCTGTTAGATACCCGTCTAGTTTTGCAGCTTCTATTTCACACAACAGATCAGACAGGTCGCGAAGCTTGTGAGGCTCTTTGCTCGAAAGTTTTGGGAAGTTCTGTAACTTTGTAAACAGCGAGTTTTCTATGGCCTCTGGTGAGCCATAGCATTCTTCAAGTCTCATCCAGACCATATTCAGACCTGCATCTGGATACCTGATGTTGACGGATTTCATCCTCTTTGCATGTTCGGACGACTCAGGGCCAAGCCACTTAATGAGAAGGTTTAATTCTTCACTAGCTGAAAGACCCAGGTCTCTGACGGTACACTGAAAAGTGGCTTTCCAGCTAAGATAGCTCTCTGGTTTATCATCAAATGCAGTGAGCCCTCCAGATACTAGCTGACTTTTTGCTAAAAACCTGGCAAGTTCATTGGTTGTGCTATTGGCACTGTTGGGTGTGGCTAACTGATTAGGTTGAACTGCATTGAGAGAAGCTTGGCGATTTCTGTCTCTATGTAGTGGTTGTTTGTCGCCATTTAGTGGCCATCCTGGGTATTGCATTTGTTCTTGTTTCTTTTGGAAAGGAGTGTATATCCTTCTTTGATATTGTTCATCTGGATATGTGTAGCTGTTTAGAAGAGTACCTTTATTTTGAGGGGGATCTTCATAACTGTGTTTGTTTATGTACTCACTCACTTTTTGGTCCGCAGTTGGTTGTAAGGGCAAAAAGCTCAACTCATCACTTCTCAATCGGTCCCCATACTGAGCTATTGCTGTCTCCATCACATCTGCTTTAGCTTTGGCAGCATCTGCTTCTTTTTGGAGGTTAAGCATTTCAAGAGTTGCTTCTAACCGTGCCTTTTCCACTTTAATGTCGATTTCTTTCACAGCATAGGCTAGTCTTGCTTTTGCAGCTTGAGCTTCTGCTTGGGCGTGTGCTGCAGCTAAACTTGCTCGGCTTGAAGTCGATGACCGTGAGGATGCTACAGATCGTACAGTCAGTTTTCCTGAATGTATGGAGGACTTGGATGAGTGAGAGGGGCAAGACTTCTTTTTTTCTTGTAACTTTTGTAGATTGTCTTTATTTTCACTGTTTTCATTCATCATGATAGCGTTTAAGAATGAATGTGGCGTCTGCAGTTGTTGAATGTGTGTCTTCTTTTACCAGACGTTCACCGTGGTCCCTCGCAGAGCGCTATGATTTCACTGTACTGTTGCACCCAATGTGACCCAGTGTCCTAATTGAGATTCACAGGCAGCTAAACTCTTTAATGCATCATTTCCTCCAAGTAACAGGCAGGTGTTGTAGTGGACCAAGATTTAATGCAGAAAAGTGTGAAACTGCAAACACAAAATACAAACAGGTATTCAGAATGCAGTAAAATAAAGTGTCTATATCAAAAAATAGCAAACACAGTACTCAAAGGGTTAACCTTAGCTGGGCTCAGTAGAGGGAACACACATCACTATCCAAAATCTTCAATAAAGGTAATAAACGTTGCACATCTAACAACCATAGCTCACTAGTGATGTGCTGAGCGGACCGAGTCTTCGAAGCGTGGACCGAGTAATCTGGGGGCGTTTCTTGTGAAGTGTGGGTCGAGGCGTGTATTGGTCACGTGTGTTATGACGTTCGAAGCCTCGCGAACGGCCGTACCACGTGACTGATTCAGGAAATGATTCGTTGGTTTGGAGCGCGGTTCGAAATAAAAGGGACGAGTGAACGCAATGGATTCCCCTTCATCACTTTGTGTGTTTTTGGGTTATTGCGCTTCTCATTTGGCATCCTATTTGGCATCCTATTTGAGCTTCTTTTTTGCGATGGAACCGGCAAGAAAGAGAAGATTTTCTCCAGTTTGGGAGCACTTTGAGCAGATCTCACCTAGTAAGGTAAGGCATATCAATAATTCTGTAATAATAGATTACACAAATATGACAACACATAATTTCTCTTGCTCACTTTTCTCTGTTATAAATACGTTTGAATAATAGTTTTTTCAATTGCAGGTGAAGTGTCTGTTATGCTCCAAACAACTGGGTTATAATAATAACACCTCAGCTATGCTAAGGCACTATCGTGCCTTGCATAGCATTGTGGATTCCAACCCAGGTGAACCTGTCTCGGGTAGGCCATTTTATATCATGATAATAATTGATGATTGTCCTACAATTACACTAAATATATTTTATTTGAATGTATTTGTTCATTAGATACATTTCTAACCCTAATGTGCATTTTCTTTCAGCTGAGATGGTTGACTTGACTGAGGCGTTGGTGGATATGGTGATTGAGGATTCCCAGCCCTTTTCCATTGTGGAGGGAACTGGCTTCCGAAAGCTTGTGAAAGCTTTGGCACCATCTTGTGTTCTTCCCACGCGGCAGGTATTTATGTGAACTATTAACAATTTATTATCCTCAGATCCACTATTTCAAGACTTTACTTTTTTCAGACTTTGAAAGCCATGGTGGAGAAGAGATACAGGGAAGCCAAAGACAAGGCCAAAGTGGTGGTGTCTTCTGCATCTGCTGTTAGTTTAACAGCAGACATGTGGACCTCCATCAACACTGATGCCTATCTTGCAGTGACTGGTCATTTTATTGACGAGAGCACTTCTCTGCAGACTGTTGTCCTTGGGGTGCAGCATTTCCCTGAGGCACATACAGCAGCAAATCTAGCGAGAGTGATGACCTCTCTTATGTCAGAGTGGGGTTTAGCAGGAAAGGTGACATGTCTGGTGACTGATGGTGCTGCGAATATGGGAGCTTGTGCTCGAGAGCTGCATCTGCGTCATACAATTTGTGTGGCACACACGCTTAACTTAATGATCAAAAAAGCTCTCAACCAAAGTCCTGTGTTGTGTGACATCAGGACAAACTGTCGTAAGATAGTAGGATACTTTAAGAGCAGCACTACTGCAAAGGTAAGGTCCTTACTTGTAATATGTCAATTATTATTTCTGCTCCTGCACTGTTTTAATATGTTGACTGTTTTATAGGAGAGACTTACACAGATCCAATCACAAATGGGTCTCTCCGTGCTTAAACTTATTCAAGAGGTGGATACAAGATGGAACAGCACATACTTAATGCTTCAGCGTCTGTTCAACCTGAGAGAGCCTGTTGGAGCAGCTTTGGCTGGGCTCCGTACAGACATTACACAAATCACAGCAGAACAATATAACATCATTGCAGACTGTCTGAAGGTGCTCGCTCCGTTCTACTATGCCACAATTGAGGTGTCCGAGGAGAAAAGTGTCTCTGGGTCAAAAGTAGTTCCACTTTTGACCATTCTCCATAATGCTCTGGAAGAAGAGGAGATCGGCCATATCCAAACACCTGAGAGCAGAGACATGGCTGAGTATTTGCGAAGCCAACTGAGGGACAAGCTCAGCCACCTCCAATCAATGAGCATCATGTCCCTCTCTACCTTGCTTGATCCCAGATTTAAAAAGATTGGATTCTTCAACCCCAATAAGGCAGCAGAAGCTGAAAAAAGATTGATTGACGAATGTGCTCGAGTTTTGAGACGTTCATTGTCCGCTTCTGCTTCATCATCATCATCATCATCATCATCATCATCACCACCTTCATCATCTGTAGCTGAAGGTAATATGTATACTCTATTTGTGCTAATAAGTCACTCATAACCTGTTTATTCTGTTTTAGGGAGCAAACTGTGGCAACGTTTTGACACGACATGCCAGCAGACCAAAACCCCAAACATAACTGCCAACGCTACAGTGGAGGTCCAAACATACCTGGGGGAGCCAAATATTCCTCGACTCGAAAGTCCCCTTCAATATTGGGACAAACATAAGTTTACATTTCCAAATTTATATAAACTTGCCATTACATATTTATGTTCACCTGCATCCTCTGTGCCCTGTGAACGGGTTTTTTCAAAGGCAGGTGAAATACTGTGCAAAAAAAGAAATCGCCTGAGTCCAAATACTCTTGAAAAATTATTATTTTTGAATAAAAATGAATAACTGTATTGTTTGTTTTTCAACTCCTGTCAATAGTTGCATAAGCACTTACATAAACAAAGTAACACAAGCACATTTTACATAACAACTGTCTCCACATCATTGGCTGTATTCTTTCAGCCCATGTTCAGACCCTACCATTTGTTATAGGCCCTTGGCATGTATTACATTTCTTTGTCCACATGATGGCGTAGTGGAGCATGCTTCACCGCGAGCCTTCGACTCATGGGCCGAGTAATAGGCTGCAAACCCTCAAGGCTTCATGGGGCTTCATATTGCCATCACTATAGCTCACAAATAAAGTTCTAAACATGCATCTCAAACATAAAACTCACTCATATTGCCACTCAAAGGGATGGAAGTGAGTGGATGGCTTCTGATAGACAACACCTCATGGTTTGTTCACAGCACAGGTTTGTTTACTTCTGCCCCACCTACAAACCAAACTTAAAACAATCCCCAGAACAAGCGCCCTCTAGCGGTCAGGAGTAAAAATGACATGCTGTAACAATACAATTTCTGTGATCTGTGTTTGAAATCTTTTTTCTAATCTATGATAGTAATTTTAGTATTTGAGCCATAAAATATTAAAGTCCAGATACTATAATTGACACTTTACTGGGAACACACCCAGATGCATACATACACACCTCTCCAGTGCTCTTCTCCAGATGAACGCAAGTGTTGTTTCTGTTTTCAGAGCCGGAGCCTGTTCCTCCTGCTGCAGAGTGAGCCCACCCATAAGACTGCATCCAGAGCAGCAGGTTTGAGGCTGCATACTGATCAATACAATTACTGTTTCTTTCCTTGCTCTTGTGTCTTTCGATATTTTAAGAAGACTTTAAAGGTCCCATTTTTCTCTTTTTGACTTAAACCTTATTACAGTGCTATTTGGTCTTCATACACATGCACAGAGTCGTTTTTCATTGTTTCCTTCAAGCTTTAATTAGATATTGTCGAGAGGCAGCGAAACACCCGGGTGCATATCTGTGACGAACACAACATCGAGGACGAGGATGATGTAGAAGCCCGTATCCCTTTCAAACGGTTCTAAAATAATGTTGTCAAAACAGGGAAAACAATACACAATAAATAAATATAATAACAATAATACAAAAAAAATCTTAATCAAAATAACGAATCACAGCCTCTCTCAAGTTCAGCGTATGGTCTATGGTAAGGTCCCGCGTCCCACCACAGGACGCCATTTGGTTTTCTGCTTTTGTCAGCAACTAAAAGTGTTACGGGGCCAACGGTAAAACGCTGAAGCCCCGCTCACCAGACGCGCATTCTCTAGTTTTCAGACGCAGAGGTCTTCACATCAGAACGTCCTGACGCGAGCCGGAAGTACCGGAAGTAGCCGGCCGGCTCTGATGTTAACAGAGCTATGCTAGCGGCTTCTTGTGTACAGATCTTCTCCAATATGCAGCTTTGCCGCGTGTCTTTGCTCACAGACATTCCACGGGCTTTATATACCAGCAGTATGTGTTCACGGAGGTGCGCCATACGTTTTTTCATATTATTAAACGGAATTTCCGCATCGGCGAACACACTCGAAGCAGTTGCATAAGGTCACGGGAGCATGACAACGCATATTTTCACAAGCACAGAGTCCCCCATTGTCAACCCTGGTTTGAGTTCTGGTGAAGCCTGGTGTGGGTCCTGTTTTGGCTGTTTATGAGTATTTTCAGTCTGCTCGCTCAGTCCGCTAATGTCCCCGTGACCACTTTGCTGCTCTATGATTTGTTGTCGCACGAACGTCCCAAGGAAAGGATGAGCAGAATCCATCTCCTGTGGGCGTCGATTTTTCGCCCCTGCTCCTCCCTTTTCACTTTCCCGCCAAGTCCGTGCGTCTCTACTGAACAGTCCGTTTGTGCGAACCGAGCGGTCTGTGCGTTGCGACGGCCGAACGCAAAGACTTTGCATTGAAACCCGACGCAACGCATGATCCGGTCTGAAAGCACCATTAGGATGCTAACAATAATGTTCATTGTGTTTATTGTGTGCAGGTGTCTTCTCTCACTACATGCTGCAGGCTTCACCGTCTTTGTCTCTGCTGCTTAAGCCAGTGGTCTCCAGAGAGCTGCTATTGCCCTGCTCCGTGCCCCCCTGCACCCAGGAGCCCTGCCCCGAAGCAACCAGTACTGTGCAGGTACCAACAAACCTACACCGCACATTATTTCTTGGTGGCAGCTGGCAGAAAACAGCTGTCTCCATGAGGTCACCGTCTGGGGATTTGTTATAACGCAACATGTTTGAAAAAGGAGTGTTGGGACAGAAGGTTTGTTTGAGGGGCTAAAAACAACTCCAAGTTTGTTTTAATGAGGGGGCATGGATGGGAATTGACACTTTTACGTATTTGCCCAATAAAGTCACTGCAAGGGCAGGATCGCAGTCAAGTGAGCAGTAAGTTTGAGCCTTAAAGCCACCCTATATAATTTGTACAGCTGCTCCATATTCACACTGACAATAATGAGAACGAGGCAGAATCTGCAACTCAGTCCCAGGATGTTCTGACCCAATCAGAGCGCAGTCCAACTACTGTCACACGTTTCAACTAAACGTATTCAGGGACAAAGCGTCAAATACAGTAAACACACAGAATCCCCACAAAACAATCACCAGAATACTTTATCAGCAGCGTGAGTGAATGTTCTGTTTTCCTACCGTGATTCAGATATGGCGCTGTGGCTATTGCTAAAGCTAACATGAGCTTTTAGCTATGTCCTGCCGCGGCTGTGTGTAAGTCCTGCTTCTTTGATGATCGTAGTTTTAAGCTCCCACAGATGTTATTCCTCCTTCCATCTCTTCTCTTCACACGCGTTTGTAAAACAATATATTATAATAGATCCATGCTATCCATGGTAAAACGCCTCGGTGAAGCGGGTGCCACGTCAGAACGCTGCCTTGTTTACATGTCGCCTCCACGCCACTGTGCCCGAGACGTTTGGAGAGATCCGGTTATCAAACTAAAGTATTCTTTCCTTGGCAGTCTAGTGAATGACTGACAATTGAGGACTGACAGTTGAGGAGCACTGTCAAACACAGTGCTCCTCAACTTGGAGACATAGAGATATAGAGTTGCTAGTCATTAGCATGAGGCCCTACTATCTGCATCTGGAGTTTAGCCATGTTATTGTCGTAGCGGCCTACATTCCCCCATCAGCCAAGGCTAAGGATGCGTGTGACCTTTTGCACTCTGCTGTCAGTAATCTACAGACCCTGCACCCCCAAGCTCTGTCTCTTATCACTGGGGATTTCAACCATGCAAATCCCCAAACTGTACTTCTCACATTCACCCAGTACATCAACTTTCCCACAAGAGACAATAGAACTTTGGATCTCTTCTTTGCCAATGCCACAGGGGCATACAACCCAACTGCCCTCCCCCCTCGGCTGCTCTGACCATAACATTTCCCACCTACGGCCTGTGTATACTCCCATCGTACACAGACAACAAGCCATTCCCCGGCTTGTCCAAAGGTGGACTGTGGAGTGTGAACACAGGCTGAGGGACTGTTTTAACTGCACATTGTGGGACGAACTGTGTGACCACGGGGACAACATCAATGCCATCACAGAATGCATAAGGGATTACATCAACTTCTGTGAAATCGCGGTGCCTTCCAAGATGGTACGATGTTTCTCCAACAACAAGCCGTGGATGAACGCTGAGATTAAGGCCGTGCTGAAGTAGAAGAAGAGGGCCTTTCTATGAAAGGACAGACAGGCACTGAAGGAGGTACAACGGAGACTGAGGTTGAACATCAGGAATGCGAAGGCCCGCTATAAGAACATGATAGAGGAACAGCTGAGCCAACAGAATGTGGCAGGGGTTTGGAGGAGCCTGAAGGAGGGCTTCAAAACACCCCCTGTCCAGCCTATGGGGGACCTCTAATGGGTCAATGATCTGACCAACTTCTTCCTACATTTTGATCAGAGACCCACCCCTCCCCCAGCTCAGTTGCATGTCCTAGCCGCCTCAGCAGTGGATAACAGCCCAGTCGTTGACACCTCCGTCAGTGCGCCACGGCCCCCTTCCCCTCAGACACATAGGCCCAGTTTACACGGAGACACTGCAGTAGTAAAACGCTATAGTTGGATGTCGGTTGCTACCCCCCGTTCATACGAAGACTGTGTTCAGATCCAGCCTGCAGAGTGGGATAGCTCAGATACGCTGATCACACCCGCGTAAGGAAAAAGGTGTGAATTCCCTGCCTGATCTGACCCCCACCTCCCCACTGCTCCCCGCACGTACATTTGGACATGCGCAGTAGCCGAGAACAAACGTAAAGAACAATGGCGGCGGGTAAACTAACTAGCTATGTGTGCTTCGAGTGCTACACAGAGGATAATTCTACTCCTTCGTTCGTCCTAACGAGACCATGCGAAGCTCTAGTTTCAGTTTCCATTTTCGCAGCTGCTGTTAATTGTAGAATGATGTTGGTGCATCTTTCACGTCTTCCAGAGGAAGTGAGTATACTGCTGGGGGGATGCTGGGGCTCACGTGTGTCGTGTTGTAAAGTTCCTCTGCCCACTACTGTCCGGGTGCTAGAACTACATCGTATTTGTAGTATGTGAAATTTGCATTAGGAGCCTGCTTCTTTCTGTTAATAGCCTGGAAACGTCTGCGCAGCGCCTCCGTATAAACTCAGCCATAGACTCACCCAGCCCCCCAGTCCTCCACTTTCTTTCACAACTGCTCAAGTCAGAGGTATGATGAAGAAAACCAAGACCAGGAAGGCAGCAGGACCAGACCATGTTAGCTCCAGGCTCCTCAGCTCCTGCGGGACTACGCAGGATTATGGGGCACGTCTTCAACCTGAGCCTCAGGCTGAGGTCTGCACCATGGCTCTGGAAGACCTCCTGTGTGGTGCCAATGCCCAAGAAACCACGGGCGAAAGATCTCAGCGACTTCAGGCCGGTGGCTCTAACATCCCACTGCCTGAAGACACTGGAGAGTGTCCACTCTCATCGATGCACCCGCTGCAGTTCGCGTACCGACGGGGCATCGGAGTTGAGGACGCCATCATCAACCTCCTCCACCGCTCGCTGTCCCACCTAGAGAAACCTTGATCCGCTGTGAGGATCCTCTTCTTTGATTTCTCCAGCGCCTTCAACACGGACAACTGTGTTGTGTGCTCCCTGTGTCTTTTTATTTGTTTTATTTTTTTATTCACTTTTACCTATTTATTGTTGTTAATGCTGTTTTATTTTATCTTTTTAGTGTTTTTATTGATTTTACATGGATTATATTTATTGACTGGTTGAGCTACATGGAGTTTTTTTGTGTACTTTTCTTTTTTTTTGTGCAGCACGTTGGAACTGTTCTGTTGTTTAAATGTGCTATAGAAATAAAGTGGATTGGATTGGATTAGAATGATTGAACCGGGAAGCACGGAGGAACAAGACTTTCTTTTGGATGGCTGTTTCGCTGTGTAAGCAGAAACCGGTAACAAAGACACGGCAAGTCTCCGGTTAGCCTCTGCCACTTGTTCACCTTAGCTGTCTGTGCTAACCAGAGACCTGTGGCTTTTCTCAAGAAAGAAGGGGCCAGTGGTCCGCTGTGATTGGTCACAATCGGGACCCGAAACAAATTCTCTTCCTTGTTTCACCAAAACTCAATCTAAAATTAAATGACACACCAGCACAAATCTGCGCTACTTATTATTCAAAAGGACGTAAATCCAAATGCATTTCTCGGATATGGATTGAATTTTTGTAATGAATGCAAAAATAAAGTCAGTTAGTGCAGCTTTAAAGTTGCTTTCACACCGCCAAGCTGGAACGCTGAATCCTCGCTCACCAGACGCACATTATCTAGTTTTCAGACACAGGGGACTTCACACCAGAAGTCCTGGCGCGCGGCCGAAGTGGCGGAAGTAGCCGGCGGGCTAGCTAACAGAGTTAAGCTAGCGGCTTCTTCTGTAAAGATCTTCTGCAATAATGCAGCTTTGCAGCGTGTCTATTTTCAGAGACCTTCCACAGACTTTATATAACAGTAGTATGTGTTCACGGAGGTGCGCAAAAAGTTTATTTTATTATTAAAGGGTACTTCCGCATCGGCGAACACGCTCGAAGCAGTTGCATAAAGTCACGGGAGCATGAAAACTCACATGTTAACAAGCACTATGTCCCCCTTTGTCAACCCTGGTTTTAATCCTGGTGTAGCTCCTGTTTTGGCTGTTTACGAGCATGTTCAGTCTGCTCACTCAGACCTCTAATGTCCCCGAGACCACTTTGCGGCTCTCTGATTGGTCGCTGCACGAACGTCTGAGGAAACGCTCAGCAAAATTCATCTCCTGCGTGCGTCAATTTTCCGCTCCTGCACCTCCCCTTTGACTTTGCCGTGCAGTCCGTGCGTCTCTACTGAGCAGTCCGTGAGTCCATTCCGAGATGCTCATGTATTTTGACGCTCGAACGCGCGCCACCACTGACTTCGGATTGTAAGCCGACGCAACGCATGATCCAGTCTGAACGCGGAATAAAGGTGCCATATTTTGCTTTTCTTCATTTTTGTCACAGTCCATCCTATGCACATGTGTGATAATAATTTGGGTGATACACAATACAACCCTCAAAACGCGTCAAATTATAGCCATTTCGTGCATCAGCTCATGTGAAACGTTTGGATCAGTGACCCTCTGCCTGTGAGCCCACCTCCCCCGCGCACATGGTGACGTAGCATCACGCTTTGAGGGAAACAAAAGCTAAATGTACAGCTTTATTCAGTACAGCAGTAATTTCACATCTGAGAATAAACTTTATCCAACGATGGAAACTCGTCACATAGAGTCCTATGACCTCGATCCAGAATCAGACACTAATCATTTAGTTCACAGTGACATACAGCGAGTTAGCATCACTGTACTCACAGACCGAGGCTCCCGTTAACGTCTTTTACGTTGAACAGGTTTCCAGAAAAACTTTTGAGTAGGTCCCATTTCAAGGTAGCCACAGTTCTGGATCAGTCTTTGGTGGTGTCACGTCACTCGCAAAGATAAGACTTGCAGATATGAGGCAGATCCCCGTGATCAAAGTTGATCCCCATTCTCCGTCTTTGGGCCAAATACTCTTGACCCATATTTACACCAACAACACATTTTCAAGTTGACATGAAGCTAACACAAAAAAGCACAGACGCTTATTTACTGTCTAGGGACCACACGGTGGACTGGGTCAGAGGCTGCATGGGCCGACCATAGACGGTGCTGATTCACTGGTTCAGTTTCTCCCCACTGTCAATCACCTCTTGGAGGTGGGCTCGTTTCTGTGCTTCTCGAGAATGAAAGAGAAAGATTGCTCTCTAACTAAAGCTTGACGGAATCAATGAAAAAAACTACTCTGGTCATGTGAATGTAGGTCAAATAGAACTGTAATCATGTTTAAACCAGAGGAAAGTCAAAAAGTGTAATATGAGACCTTTAATGCCCGACTCCATCCGTTTTGTGTGTGTGTTCTACAGGCCAGTCTGCAGCAGCTGGATGAGGAGTCTGTGTTCAACCCTCTGCTCCTCAACAGTAACCTCTATGTGCAGCTTCGGAGCCATGGCCTGCTGTTCCATGGCAGATACACATACAAGTACTAATGCACACAAGCACTGCATTCTGGACCACCATAATGCACTGAGAATGTTTACAAATCACTATTGAATTCCAATTTGCCTATAACTTTGCAAGACTTATGTATGTGTACCTTTGTGCTGTGATTTAAAAAGTTTGCACTGCATGTAACCTCATAAACCGGATACAACTAAGATAAGGCCAACAGATGCATATAGAGCGCAGGAAAAATGAATGCTAATATTTTGATGTTTGTGATGAGCTTGTGTGAAAATCAAATGGTCGTTTAAAATGTGCACTAACTCCCAAGACTTCTCTCCCGCTCACGCTGCTATTGACGGAAGTGAGCGGGAGAGAAGTCTTGGGAGTTAGTGCATGGACGTAGTGCTCCTCGTATTATTACTATACTTGGTAGTGTAACACGTCACGTAACTGTATTTAAATAGGGAACACGTGGAGGAGTTTGGGAGCTTCTAACGGGAGCTGATTTGGAACTATACAGTCTGTGGAAGAGGCTGTGTTTGTGCTCAGTTTGCATGACAGAGCATATGTCAGTGTGTAAAAACGGTGGCCTATTCCTCAAAGTCCTAGCTGCTTACATGTTTCCTCCCACATTACAAAATGAACACATGTAGGATTCACTGAATACTTATGGAGATCCTCTAACTACAGCCCATGTGTCTGAATCAAGTGTTGATCTTGTGGATCAACACTTGTGCTGCATTTTCTCCAGTTTTATTTTACCCAAATGTAATACCTTCTGGGGAAAAAAGAACAGCAACAAAAACTGAAAAAAAGATACATGTTTCTATTATGTTGAGCTTTTGTGGATTTCTTTGTTGTGCTTTTATCCAATTTTAGATTTGGGTAAAACCAAACTGGAGAAAATGTAGTTTGATCAGGTGGGGGTTAAGAGGTTAATATACAAAAAGGCATATACCTCTGCAGAAACTCCAGAGTTGAGGCCAGTTGTATTGGATAATGGATGTTTAAGCAATAATAGCTCCCAAACATCATGGAAATGGCCGACACAAAGGAGCCAACGTTGTCCTGGACAATCATACAATCCACACTCAGCATAAACCGGTTTGCAGATTAACAGGATTGTCCTTCAAGGAGAAACAAAACGAGTTAAATACAAGTAAAATTACATTTCACCAGGCAGAGCATTAACTCCTTAGCATCAATATAGAAATGGGTTCAAAGAATGGACAAATTAAAGCAAAAGAATAAAAGAAAGTTCTCACCACACACACAATGATGGTAGGAGTCATGGGAACTTGCTCCATTGGCACTTCTCCTGCCAGGCATGACTCTCTCTCCTCCAAGTAGGACAGCAGAAGCACCCTGTCTTTTGTGTCCTCTCAAGACTTTATACTTTGTCAGATCCTCAAGGAACCTTTTACATTTGTATTTGCACACGGTGTTCATGTAGCGCAAGAGCCTTTTCCCTTTCTGATCAATACAAAACCGACAAGTAATCATCTTGGCAAACACATTCCCTTCAAACAATGCCTGTTTAGTGCAGATCTTAAACTAATCAAATGAATATCTTACCTGTATTCCAAACAGTCATTGGGAATGCGGCCAGAGAGCCTCTCCTCAGCCCGCACGTGCTCAAGTTGCGCTCTTCTGGTTAGCACGTTTGGCTAAACACGTGCCAAACGTATGGTTCTGAAAATAACCGGATATCAGCTTAGTTGTTTTATGAGGTGTTTATGCCAGAATGGCAAGATTTTGTCTACGTGTGAAATGCAACACCGTAAATGCAGTCCAGTTTCATGTCACCAGCATCACACAATGGTGAAATGCTCGATGCTAACTAGCGTTAGCTCTTCTAGCTAGCCACGGCTGGACAGCACGATACTGAAACTAGCTGCCGGACAACGGACACATTTCAGAAAAACTAAATGTCCTTCTTCTGTTCTGTATCAAGATAAATTATCTTACCCGTGTTATCGGCTTCTCGAACGAATGCTTCGCTTCTTCACCAACGCACACTCACGCTCTCTGTCCAGTGTGAAAGTTGCACACGGCACTGATCCGGGGACTGACGTACACAGCGTTGACTCCGCATGTGTCTAAACTCTCACGATAGCTGATTATCGGAAAATAAAACGTCTTCTACAAATCAAGGAGTCCAGTCTGAAAATAATATACAGATTTATATTTTGCATGGAAAATTATTGTTGTTGCACGCGTAAATACACTATTAATTAATTACTCCCCTTCCCAAAGTTACAAAAGCTTTATTTGGTTAAAAGATTAAACAGATTATTTAAATGTATTTATTTTAGTCATTTAAACTCAGAAAAGAAACACAAGAAGCACTCTACACACATGGAGAAATTTATAAAAAAAACCAAACGTTGTTCTTGTTGGTGTTAATGTAGTGATTAATAATAATGAACATTTTAATTGCAGTTTCAGTCTATTCTTCTTCTTCTTCACTATATCACACATTTACTCATACATTGAGTTTGTACCAATTTTTCGTGGAATGGGTTATGATTAATGACAAACAGGAGTAATGGTTAACTAATAAGTTAATTACTTGTAAACATTAGTTTCAAGTATTTTAATTTCTTTAGTAATAGACTCTTGATGTACATTTGACTGTATTTGCTTGTTTTTTGTTTTGCAGTTTTTCTGTGTTGAAACTACAAAGAAATGTTATAATTTTAACATACATTTTCTCTAAAAGTAACTATCTTGGATAGTAAAACTTCCAACTGAACATTACTGTTAATTAAACTGAGTTTGAGGGTTTTTCAACTTACAGTTTTTTTCAGTCACCATTTTACGGACATTTTCAGTACATTTCACTGACATTTTTTACAGTGTGTAAAGAGAGCATGGATCTAGAGAGTGATAACACCAACAGCCGTTTGTGTGTATGTATATGTTTATATATATATATATATATATATATATATATATATATATATATATATATATATATATATATATATGGTGCTACTTTGAACCGAGAATATAACACATATTTTCAGTTGATTACCTTTTCTTTTAGGTATGTACATAATTCAGTTTTGATGCATGAAAAATAGTCACAAAAAAAAATAAAAAATCCAAACTTTTGGTCTGTACTGTACATACATATATCCTTTGATGAGCACTTACACTGTTAGGATTTAGCAGACAGAGACGGATCGTGGTGTGCCAAACTCTGGAAGTTTATTTAAGTTTCTCTCAAGTTCCACTGGTTTACTCTGTTTCTTTCTCTCAGACAGAATAAAGGCAGTACACAGTTTATATAGTCATTGTCACGTCACACATCGAAAGACATACGTGTCACAAAGAGACAGTCAAATCATAGTCATAACATGGAGTCCTTGTAGAGTCCTTGTACAGTCCTGCACGTAGGCCATATTGCTATCTATTACTAACACCCTCCCCTTTGATCACATAATCACATGTGATCAATCAATTTGATCAAGCAATAAAGTGGAAAAAGAAAAAAAAAAAAAATCAAAAAAAAAACTTTAAAAAAATTATTAAAAACAAAGAAAATGTATGCATTAAACTCATAATCATCCAATCAATATCAGTGGATTTTATCCTCTATCCTGGGAAAAAATAAACAAACAAATCAAAAATAAAAACAAACAAACACTATTGGACACACAAGAACTCAGCAGATTCAGTCAAAACACAGACAAAAACGAGCTGAGTCTCAATTTAGAAGCTAATTTCACTTTTATTACTCTATACTTTTATTCTAATGCTAATTGTTTACACTACACTCCACTGTATTATTTTCACTATTTAATCTTAGACTGTGTACTTTACTTTCATTATCACTATAGTTTAAAACTATTCTAATCTATTTACAAATATGTTTGCATATTTGCTTCTATTGAGCCATATTCTTAAACATACATTTTATTCTAATAAATCTCTCTGTGGTATTACACTCTCATTATCAGTGGCTTATTATCAGTGGGATTTTGTTCTATCTCTCTTCTACATTCTCAGGAATAAAACTGTGAACACAGTAAGGCAAATGGTTAATATGAACATTATTATGGCTGTCAGTTTTCCAAATACATTTGTTGAACCTGGAAGTGCTGTCACTTCCTCCTATCAGGCAATTTGGGATGAATGTACATCATTAATCAAATTGGTATAATCCTTACAAGCTAATCTATTTTAGCAGGTTTTGGTTTGGGGTCAGTTATTCTACAATGGTATTTGTGCTGGAAACTTCTCAATATCTAAATATCTACTATTGTGTTTTTGGGCTATACCCAAATACATCTAAATGCTTTTGAATCTCTGTTGGTTCTAATCTATCTCTTTGATCTAGGCATTAATCTAGGCTACACTCATATGAACTTTATCTACTTTTGAAGCAAAGGTTTGTGAAATGGTCCCTTTACCATTTGATATTAGCACTGGCTACAAATAATCTCTATTTTTGAAAGCATCTATGGTTGATGCATTTATCTAATTCTATATTTACTCTATTTTTTAACTCCAAAGCTCGGCTGCAGCTTGAGCAAAGGCATATTCCTAATTTGTGACTTCTGTCACTTTTAATGTCTCTAACAAAATAACTCTGATTCTAATATTATAGCTGATCTATCAGAAGGATAACATTGTATGGTACTATTTTAACTCTAACGTGGAAATATGTTTATGAAAAACAAAGGAAGTCAAATTCTACTTTTTTACTACTATTTAACATCTAATAAAACGCTACAATACTCATACTTTATCATTTTCAAAGTTTTTGTCTGTCAGATGTCTGAATACTTAACATGTATATTGCATTTGGTCACAGGTTCTGGTTGTAGCAATAGCATCGGCAATAGACGTTTTCATTGGCTGGTTCTTGTTCTGCAAATGGCTGTGTCTAATAGATCATCAGATGTCCAGAAGCTAGGGACAAACAAAAACAAAAGAAGAATCATGAGTATCTGTCTCATTTAGCACTCATCAATGTATGATTTCAAAAATATAAACATCACTCCCCAGTTTTTTCTCTCCAGGGTCCTCAGATCCTCAGGTCCTCAGTGTCCCCTGAGGGTGAGTCTCAGTCGTCATCAGGTCAGATCATATTTCGAGAGATGTCATCTTGGACATCAGTAGGGTCCAAGCCATGGTTTTGGTCTCTCCAGATGCACATCAGGATCTCCAGATACAGTCTTTTCACTTGAAGCATATCAGGTCATTTGCGATGCACTTCTGGTCAATGGTGCAGTGTCACAGTTCCTGTACACAGCTTGTTATGCAGTAGTTACTCTCTATGGTTAAGTCACTTTTATTCTACTTTAACACAATTTCTATTCCTGCTGTTGCTTCTGTCTCTCAGACAAAAGCAAGCGCAATTTACTTCTCTAATTTGTGTTTTTATCAGATCTAATTCTAATCAATGTAATTACTTCACACAGTACAAAATCAACAAATCAAAAGTGTCAGGACAGACGTCAATTAGTCCATGACAATATAGAATTCAAATGAACATTTCTGGTCTCAAAAAATACTGATTCAAATAAAGATTCAAGTGATAGACAATTGAAAATGTGTTTACATTGGAGTAAACTTTTAAAATGCTTTTTTCTCATGTTCTGCTTTTTCATGTATCTATATGTAAATGTGAATGTGTGAGTGTATGTGTGTGTGTGTGTATGTAGGGTGTGAATTTTGGGGTTGTGTCTCCAGACTCCTCAAACCACCTGTAGGTCTCAAAGGTCACACTGTGGTGATGTAAACAAGCAAAGTGGGCACACTTCCAGATTGCAAAACAACTCACCCACCACTGCCTACAGAAAACCTCACTTTGTAACCCCGGTCTCACTGCCACCTACGACCATCGGTCTGTAGTGGGGGAGGGGCACACGGAGGTAGCTATGGCGCCTTTACGATCTGCGGCTGGTTGGATGGTGTCTACTCTGGGCCACTGTTCTGATCCCTCTGTGTCCACTCCAGCAGTCCAGTGACCCTGTACAGTGTGTGCCCTTGGTTCTGGAAAACAACCTTATAGTCAAATTAAAAACAACAGAGATTGTGAATGAGATTGTTTTTCTCCCTAAAGTCAAAACAATTTTGGAGCGCTCTGGGTTTTTCAACATGCGCTATGTAAATAAAGATTACTTATTATCTTACTAATGATGACATTTTAAGACCAGAAACTCTCTCTTAATAAAAAACAAGACTCAAATCTCTTAAAAACCTTTAAACTTTAAAATATGTGTACTTTTGTACTGTGTGTTTAATTATCTTGAACATCCTTGGGTTTCACTTTATGGACTTTCCCTTTTACACTTATTTATCTCAGCATCTATTCTACTAATTTAAAATAATTGCAGCATTTTTCAAATTAAGTCAATATGAATTGGAGCACAATTTTAGACCAGGCTCCTCTGCTGTGTGCATCAGCAGCAGTAAGGTCAGGCGTGTAGTCAAAACATAAACAAAAAGTCGCCACTTGCATATGAATTGGGTAGTTTAACTTAATAATATAATACTTTTACAGCCAATCTAATTCCCTCTTTCTTTTTAGACGAAGTCTATAATCAATAATCACTTTTAACACAGATTCTAATTTAAATGTTTGAAAAACGGCTTTTGTAACTAAAATAAAAACATAAAAAAATTCTCACAAACAGCTATGAAATATATCAGAGATACAATAATGGACTCAAAAAATAAGCAGCAGATTTAAAAAGAATGGAATCTAGAAATATGTTAGGTCTAAAAAGAATTGCACAGCTTTTAGCACTAATATTTGGGTTTCAAAAACATACTAATTCAAAACTTCTATTCACTAAATGGTGTTTAAAAACGTTTAACTGTGTCTAACACAATGTTCAATGGCAAATTTCGCAAATTTAACGGAATAACTACTATGAAAAGCCAAAATCCTAAAAGCAGTAGCTTTGCTCTGATTCAGAGCCAGAGCAGCGAAGGAGGGGGCCGTTTCCCTGACAACGGCAGCAAGATAGTGCGATGCACACACACAGACAGAAAGTAGTGTTTTAGCAAAAATGCCAAAACAGAAAGAAGAATAACTTTGAAGATTACTTTTTTAAGCAAATATAACTTATGTTGTTCTTTATACTTTTGTCATCCAAGTCTAGAAGTGATCACTTTCCACACTAGTAACAAAAGGCACTCTTGTCTTTAACGTTTACGCTTCTATTTTATCGAGGTAGCTAATTTAAACTCAAAATCTCTTTCTAAAAAACAAAAACAACTGTTGGATACAACCCTCTCATAGCTTAACTGTAGATAAAACTCGGCAAAAAATGTAAATAACTCACGAAAGCTCTCATAGCTCAACTGCAGATAAAACTCTGCATTCTCCGGTGAACTCTGTTCACGCCAAAAAACAAAAACTCCCTTTTTCTGTATGTAATTTAAACCGTGATCACTGAAATATTGTTGCTTCTTTACTTTTGTCATTTATCAGCCTGAAATTCGTCAATTTCAAAGCTTTTGTAACAAAGGCCTCCTTAACACGTTTCCCTTTTTATTGCTTTTATTATTACACCATGGTTTCACTAAGGATCCTACACTTTATCTTTTCTCAAAGGGACTCTAACCCCGAAAACGTTTTCTCAAAGGGACTCTAACCCTGAAGCTTCTTCTCAAAGGGACTCTAACCCCGAGACTTTTTCTCAAAGGAACTCTAACCCCGAGACTTCTTCTCAAAGGGACTCTAACCCCGAGACTTCTTCTCAAAGGGACTCTAACCCCGAGACTTCTTCTCAAAGGGACTCTAACCCTGAGACTTCTTCTCAAATACAATTTAGAGAGTTTGACAGACCCCAAAAACAGACCAAAATTTAGCTAGTATCCAATTATACAGACTTTACATATAAAAAGGTGTCTGCTTACCTTATTCTTGTCAAACAGGTTCCAAGGACTGTCCGAGAGGTCTGCCAACCTCTTTTCCGCGTCGGAATATTCAATTTAAAAAACAAAAGTGACAGAAGCGACAAGAAGCATCCAGGAACAGCTCTTCCAGTCTGCTGGAATCTCCGCTCCCAGACACAGCCGGTCTCTCACGCAGAGGAAAAGAAACAGAGCAAACTCCCTCAAAACAATCCAGAGAATGGCACACACCGAGCCGCGCATTCTCCACCAAATCTGTTAGGATGAGGCAGAGAGAGACGGATCGTGGTGCGCCAAACTCTGGAAGTTTATTTAAGTTTCTCTCAAGTTCCACTGGTTTACTCTGTTTCTTTCTCTCAGACAGAATAAAGGCAGTACACAGTTTATATAGTCATTGTCACGTCACACATCGAAAGACATACGTGTCACAAAGAGACAGTCAAATCATAGTCATAACATGGAGTCCTTGTAGAGTCCTTGTACAGTCCTGCACGTAGGCCATATTGCTATCTAATACTAACAACACTTTCACTGAAAGTAATTGTGCTGCATGTAGCAAAGTTGTGCTCCCCCTCAACCCTGATTAGCATTTGTATAGCTCACAGCATTCCCGTTTACATGTTAAAGCCTCCTGTGGAGGAGGGAGGAGGGGACAACAAACTACCGTCAACAGCCGAATCCCAGACGTTTCACAGTAATATACAGGGCCGAAAAGAGACGAAAATCACACTTTTCATGCAGTGCGAGGGGCAATGTTGTTGCAGCAACAGAAAGGTACACATATTCACAAGGAAACAATAGATATACAACAGAATTACAGTGATTTGTTTAAAATAACAATACCTAGAGGGATGAATCTGCTTACATTTAGTGGAGCTATATCTGCTGCCAGAGGGTAGCATCTTAAACTCTGCCCAGAGTGGGTGGGTGGGTGGCATCCATGGGGATCTGAGTCCTGTGGACTCCAGCTATTTTCCTCAAGAGGCTACACCACCTCTGCTACTGTGACCCGTCCTGCTCCACCCCGAGGCCTCTCCACCTCTTCTGCTGTGACCTGAAGGGCTGTTGCTGGTTATCACTACTTTCAACTTTTTAGAATGATCAATTTCATTTTTTATTTTTGCTGCTACTGGACACCTGAATTTCTCCTACGGGGATCAATAAAGTGTCTATCTATCTATCTGTCTAAGAGCGCACAATACTCTGAAGATGCTTTTTGTTTTTACTGAGAGTGCTCCAAACCAAGAAAATAAAAGAGAAGGTAAAAACTGATTCAATAAAAAAAAAGAGTAAAACATTTTCATAAAAGTTCTGTCAACATTAAAATTATTTAGTTTAGCATGCTCTGTATTCATTCTGGCCCTTGAACATGATGAGACTATTTAAGCAGTAATTATGTGGATAGACACATGTGTAATGGAATAAGAGATGAGCAAGACACTAATCTAGAGGAAGAAGTGGGAAAATTCATGCTCCTTTATATCTAAAATCAACTTTGTGGAGTCTAAAAAAGGACGCAGAGATGTACAAAATGTTTGTACCTGTGTGTGCCCAGGCTGGCAGCAGGGCGCGGGCCACAGTGGCTCCTTTACCCCCGTCCTCCAGCCCTTCATCGCTCTCTTCCTCACTGGGACCCCCTCCTGTCAAGGTCTCCCGTCCCGCTCTTACCTTCCTCAGCAGCAGCAGCTGGGGGGATGACAGACAAGCCCCCACCCCTTGTGTCAGGGCCCCAAGGTCAGGGGCAGAAGAGGACTGTGTGGACGGTCAGGTTTAGCTTTGGTTACTATGTGTTTTCTACACTGTTAAAGCTGGGTTCAATTATTGAAGATCTTTGCTGTTTTCTGTTGATTTGTTTCCATTGTATTTGTGTCATTATTTATTGTAAGAGACTCTTGACATGTATATGCTACTAATAAATTTGAAGAACGTTTTGACCATACACCGATCCATTTTCTACCCTTTAATCCATTTCTGGGTCAGGGGGGTGGCAATCAGAGATGCCACCCAAATCTCATAGCACCAGCCCCTCACTGATCCTCTGCAGGTGGTGAGTCCACAGGAGGACGGCTGCTCTCTGAGTGTGAGCATAGCCTTGATCTTTCAGTGGGGGCTTTGGGCAAAGTGGGGTTAAGTGTCTTGCCCAAGGACACAACGACAGCAGTCATCAGTGGGAGTCGGTGGAGAAGGTGTAGAGGTGGGAATTGAACCCACGACGCCAATGCTCTACCAACTGAGCTATTGTCGCCCATTATTGACCATACACATCCAGCTTATTTATGTCTTGTTCCGTCACACTTAGCATTTTTTCCATTTGTTTAATTGTTTAATTTGCAAACCACTGTAAGGTCCAGTCTCCATGCACCTGCTGAGAAAACAGAGCCTTGTGAGGTTTTTTAAGGTGCCGGCCAGCAAGACTAGTTGGGAGCCTCAAAAGGCCTGTTAGTGACACGCACTATATTGAGTTTTATTTTATAATTTTGTTTAAAAAGAAATATACACTTAATTATATATACACGTTTTTCCCTATAGTATTTAGACGCACTGCAGCACTCATCTCTCTCAAACTTCAGAAGTGAATGAATAAAGGAATCAATGACTGAAGCTTTTGGGAAGTGTCCGTGATTTCACAGAGAAACTCTGGATCCAAAACGTATGAATGGCGTAGACCACATTTGAAGAGTTTTTGTGGTGGGATCTCTGTGGCACCTGCTGCGCAATGCCCATGAGCCCGTTCCCATAAGTGCGTAGCCATCCTATCTCTGCTACATGCGGAGTACAGGGCACTGGCTGAGACAGTTTTGAGTGAGACCATTGGTGCGTTTATGGGGCTTTATGCACAAAAGTAATGGAAAAATACATTTCTTTGAATGAGGCATAACAAATAGCCATGCGTAAATACACAGCACAGGGCGGGTCACACATTAAATAAGTAAGTAAGTCAAGTGTATTTGTATATCGCCTTTCACAGACCAGGATCACAAATCGCTTCACATAAAAAAATAAAAAAAAACATACAGATCAAAATAATACACACACAAGTCGGAATTAAACACGGAAAAACATATGAGGGTCCTCATCATGTGATTTATTCACAATGAGGACTGCTTTATTTGATATTTGCTTGTTTCCATTAGACTTTTTCTGATGCACAAATTCACATTTTGAAACATGATCCTCAATGAAAACGCAGCTTATAATTTTGCCAGACTGGGAATATGTTTATTGTTGTCCAAATCTTGCATTTCTTGCATGTTTTGGCGTTGTGATGAAGGTTGAGATGGGTGTAAAATTTACACCACGTCCTGACTCTGCGTATATTTTGAGCGTACCGTACACTCACTTCCAGATTGATAAATGCCGAAAAGTGTACATTTTCTGCGTACGCTTCATTTACACACTTATTTGGCCGTACGCAAGTTTCATAAATGAGGGCCATTGAATGAAGTCTGGCACATATTGGGTGAAGCAGACTCAAGTTTGCGGTGGTTAAAATCACCTAAAATAAGGCAGGGTGCCTCAGGAGTGCGAATCAATTGCCTATGAACACAGTCTCCAATAATATGTACTGCGTTTGACGCCTTCCCGTTTGGTGGAATATAGACTGTGCAGAGCAACATATTCCTGTATTCCCGAGGAAGATAGAAAGGTCTCCGAAATGTCTGTGTTGCAGACCGTCTCTCCCGTTGTGAATTGAGAGCGCCACTTGCTGTTGACATAAATGCCAATGCCCATCCAAAGACACAAGCGCATCGGGAACATCCTCCTGGAGCCACGACTCGGTGAAGACGAGCAGGCATGACTCGCGGTACTCGTGCAGGAGCCTGCTGTCAGTCCATAGGTCGTCGGCTTTGTTCTGCAGTGATCGAACATTGCTGAGAGGTATTGAAGGTAGCGGTGGCCCCATAGTGTGTTTAAGAGATTTTGTTTTATTTTAATTAGTATAGCTATTGTTCACTTATCTTGTGCTGTGTGCTCCTCGTTCCTACTGTTCTATAACTTGTGATGCAACACTGAAATTTCCCCACAGTGGGACGAGTAAAGGATCTCTTAATCATTTGGAATGTTCACACATCATTTGGAAACGGAAAGTATTGCACAACTGCGAACTTGCCAAGACATGGCCATCCTCCTAAACTAACAAATCAAATAAGAATAGGTCAGAAGACCTAGATGACTCCGGAAGAGCTTTGCTGAGCTGGGTGAATCTGTACCTGAGACAACTACCAGTACCAATAGAAAATCTGTAGAAAGACCTGACAAACACTCTCCATCCAATTTGACAGAGCAAGATAAGTGGACTAAAATATCTGTCTTAGATGTGTGAGTCATACCCCAAAAGACTTGGTGCTATTATTGAAACCAATGAGGATTTCTATTTTAGGAAAAATAACAGAATCATGTGACATTTAGCTTTCACTTCAAAGTTGTCTGTTACTTGTGTGAGAACTTTCAGTAAAAATGTTAGATAGAATATTTGTGTTTATGGTTCTGTAGCGAGAGCAGAGGGTGGATTGTAATATCATTGATTTAGGACCAGCAACGCTGGGAAAATAGAACTAATCGAAAGGTTCACAGGTAAGTTTCACTGAGGAAGTAGAGACAGTTACATTCAAGTTGACAAAATTTTTATTTTAATTTATCGGTGGGAAATGGCAGAATAAGATACTAGATAAGATAATAAAAGCAAGCACACTAGACACGTATCATCAAACACGCTTCCTAAGCACCATCAAGCACACGACTTTCACAACACTAATCACACTACACATGCACATGCTTAAGAAAGTTTATGGCTGTGGCCTAATCGTGAGGGGGAGAACTACGATAGAAAAGCACAGTTACAGTGGGCCGTGCAGAGCGAAGCCGAGGAGAAAGAACCAGTCTCCAAACTTGGACCGGGGTGCGGCCAGCCCCGGTAGACAGCACAGTACAGCGCGCGGTAGAGAGCAGAGATTAATGTGAGCAAAGCGGCAGCGTCTACATGCACAAGCAAAGAAATATATAGGCACTCCAATCTTCAAAAACTATTCCTTAGCCAAGACCTGCGCCGCAGTGGTGGCCCGCTGGTCTCTGCTTGGAAATGCCAACATGAACTGGTGTACTGTGTGGAACATGCGGTAGACACAATTTTCATGGTGCCCCCCGGGATACGAATTGCCCGCTTGGCCTATACCTTAACCGTGCTCCCCCGCAGAAAACGTTTGACCAACGGATGAGAGATGAGAACGGGCTGTGAACCCCCCGAAACCGTCGTGACCCGAGGTAATGGCTGCCGCGAACACCGCCAAGGTGGCGACGGCCCTCCCTTTGTCAAAAAGTTCCTGTAGGAATCCCAGGACTCCCTCCAACGGGCAACGCCTGGGATCCCAGGAGCGAGAACAGCACCAGTCGCTGAAGAGCCGCCATCTCGTGGCGTAGGCCCTCACAGTGGACGGCGCCCTCGCCCCCTGAATAGTCTCCACCACCGCCGGGGGAAGACCCAGGTCTACGAGGTTCCGCCTCTCAGCCTCCAAACCCAAAGCCTGCGGCCAATTATTGGGCGTGAAAACAGTGAGCCAGGGCATCCACACCTAAGGGCGGCTCGTCCGCGGCCCTTAAGGCGAACCAGAACGGGCACTGTGCGTTCTCTGCACTGGCGAAAAGGTCGACCACTGGACGACCAAACCTCCGCCAGACTTCCGCAGCCACCCGTGGGGCCAGGCCCCACTCGTCCTGGAGTGGGCCCCCCCTGGACATCCTGTCGGCCCCCACGTTCCGGGCACCCGGGACATGGCGCGCCCTCAGGGACAGGAGGTGAAGCGCCGCCCACAGCAGCATCACCATCGTCATGCGATGGAGGACGGGGGATCTGGTGCCCCCCTGCCTGTTCAGATAAGACACCACTGTGGTGTTGTCTGAGCGAACCATCACGTGTCTCCCCTGCAGTTGAGGAGCAAAGTGAAGCAGTACCCTGTGTACTGCCTCCATCTCCAGAAGGTTGATGTGGCGGGCTGAGTCCGACCAGCAGCCTCCTACAGAGCTCTGGCCGAGGACCCCGCCCCAACCCTCGAGTGACGCGTCCGTGAACACCTCCACGTGAGACACGGCGCAGGCCAGAGTCACTCCGTCCCGCAATAGACCCGGAGTGAGCCAAAACCTGATGTCCGATGCTGCCACTTCCCGTCCCGGGAGGGGTGAAGCCTAAGGCCTGAGAACCATCTCTGAAAATTCCTCATGTGGAGAAGGCCTAGCCGCACCACAGCATGAGCCGCCGCCATCATCCCCAGCAGGGACCTGAGGCGCCGAGCGGGGACCCTGGGGCCCGCCAGAACCTCCCTGGCTAGACGGGTAATCTTCCTCCGTCTGTCCTCGGACCATGCAGCACGGAACGTCACAGAGTCTAGCTGCAGGTTGAGATAGATCATGCGCTGAGCCGGTTGCAGCCTGCTTTTCCCCCTGTTCACCACAAAGCCCAGGCGCTGTATGTGGGACAGGACCCAGTGCGTGTGACTCACGGCCACTTCCCTCGATGAGGCCAGTATTAACCAATCGTCTATATAGGTTAATATTCTTACCCCTGCGCGTCTGAGCGGCTCCAGTGCCGCCTCCACGCACTTGGAGAAGGTCCGAGGCGCGAGCGCGTAGCCGAAGGGGAGACGGCAGTACTCGTAACTCCTCTCTCCCACTGCGAAGCGCAGGAACCTCCTTTGTTCCGTAACTATCGGCACGTGAAAGTAAGCGTCTGTCCTGGAGTGGGCCCCAGTAACTATGGAGGACATCCAATCTCCCTGCCTGACACTCGAGGAGCTGTTTTGTGGACAGCATCAGACACTGCCGTTTGGAAATGCACTCGTTCAGAACGCGCAAATCCAAAATGGGACGCACCCCGCCTGACTTCTTTGGCACCAAGAAGTAAGGGGAGTACAGCCCCCTGGTGGCGTCCTGTGGGTCTACCTCCACTGCTGCGCCTCGACTCAGCAGAGAGGAGACCTCCGCTTGTAGTGCCACTAATGATCCCCGTACCTGAGAGCGTGCTGCCCGTACGCCTCGGAATGGTGGTGGCTTTCGGGAGAATTGCAGTGCGTAACCCCTGCGCAATGTCTTCTCCAGCCGTCAGTAATCCCTGCTCCCTCCAGATGCTGTAGAAGTCTGTGAGGGGCGGAACGGGAGCTGGAACACGAGACGTCACAGCCCCGCCCTCTCCTGGTGTTCCTAGCAGGGAGGGGGTGCGGACGAAAGGGCAGGGGGGCCCCCTGCGTCATACCGTGTGCGCCAGGGGCGATCACGTGTCCTGCAGGCCCGACGTCATAAGTACGGGTCTGCTCATACCACGTGACTCGACTGCTGCGCCCCCCCTGGCTCTTGCCTCATGGAGGGGGGGGTGAGCCCCTGGAGTGGGAAACCCCGTGTTAGCCTCGTAGCTCAGAGGGGCTAGCACGCGTTCGGCCGAAGCACACACATTACTACTCACCAGATCCCTCCGCCTGACCTCTCTCTGGGAGGGCATAGCATGGATCAGAGGACCGGAGCTTGTAGCTCGCATAGCGCACTGCACACCCTGCTCTGGGGGCTGCAGGCCTTGCGAAGCAACGTTATGTGCCCGGGAAGTAACACAATCAGATTGCACATTAGACATGTTACGTACCCCCAAATGAGACTCAGACAACGAGTACTGACGAAATGCCGGTCGGCCTTTATTGAAAGAATTCTTGCCACCCCGACCTCCTCTGCCATAGGGAGGCCGGCGGTGGGTGCGTTGCTCCCGCGAGCCACCCGTGGGTCTGTCTGGACCCGGGGGCCTCGTCGAGGGGGGACGATGGACCACAGAGCGCGGATACGGGTCAGGACGCCTCCCGGGCGAACGCTCTCTGCCTCCGTCCCAGCTCCGTGATGGTGGGCGGGCCTCGCGCCTCGGTGCTAGGTGCGGGGCTAGCCTAGCCGAGTCGTTGGCTGCAGACTCCAGTCTCGCCACCAGGGCCTGCATGTCCGGGCCGAAGAGGGACGTCTGGGAGACGGGCAGGTCCAGCAGCTGCCTCATCTCCGCCTCCCTGATATTTGCCAGCCCAAGCCAAAGGTGCCTGGCCCCGACTTGGGCTGCTGCCATGGAGCGGCCGCGCGTGGCACATGCGCAGGATCGCCGCCGAGGTGGTCCTCGCCTGCGATAGGAGGTCTCCACATCTTGTCCCGCTCGAAGGGAAGGGGACAGGATGTCCCTGCAGCCCTCCGCATCCCACACGGATGCGGAGGGCTGCAGGGCCATGCGGACTGAATCCTTGATGCACACCACCGGTCCAGGACCAGTCCTGCACGCTGCAGTACATGCTGTACCCCAGAGCAGGCCTCTTGGCTGCTCGGGGCTTTGGCCACTCACGTGTCGCATAATGGACGATGGGGTTGTATCCTCCTCCTCCCTCGAGTGGTGGCGCCCACAGAGGTGAAGTCCTCCACCGTCTGGATCCAGCGACGACGTCCGACGCCGGAGGGCGAAGGGAACTCGGACGAACAATGGAAGACATCTCAGAATGAAGTAAGTACTGTGGTAGATCTCAATCGGCGCCAGAGTGAAAGAGGGGGTGCGGCCTTGTGCAGGGGCCTTTATAGAGGAGGGTCGCTAGTGATTGGAGCAAATTATTTTGATCTCTGGCGTGTGACCTGGGGGTCACGTGATATCCCACTAGCGAAGTCCGCTAAGGGACGTAGCACCATAACGTAGAGTCACGCAGAAGTGCTCCAAAAAGAAAACGGGCATCTACCTCTCAAGGCCGTGGAAGGGATCGGGGGCAAGGCCAGAGGCATGCAGGACATGCTGCTGTAAAAAAC